TTCTTTCTCGATGAATTTTTTTGTCGAAATCGTTTTCTGTGATTTCTAATGACGAAGCATGGATCTGCACAGTGCTTAGGACGGGCGATGATGATGACCTAGGCGGCAGCGAACGGCCTAAAACCTGCAAGACTCTCTGATACTTAAGTCAATGTAGGAGTAGAGATAATAGAGAGAAAGGGATGTGTATCGTGTGTAGAAGGTGTAGAAGATAGGTAGAAAATGTGAATTATGGGAGAGGCACTATCTCTTTATATAGATGTGGTGTTAAATGTTTCCTGAAACCCTAGCGGAATAGGTTTAGGCGGTGGCTTAATCTCCAAGTAACTTAATCTTAGGCCCAATAGGCCTAGGGTTTATTTTGGACTCGTCAAGTGCCCCTAGTAAGCCATATTCTCGAGACTTGATGAGAAGGATATGGGTTGTTATGAGTGTTGATGTCTTCTCGTGGTGTTGCCCCAGTTCTTGAACTCTTTCGTTCTCAGGTATCACCTATATAAGATAAAGAGAATAAAGTGCCTCGAGGAAGTCTTTGTATTAGTGAGTTCCTGATTAGAAGGGGGAAGCCTGTGTATGTCGAATTAGGAGGATGACACATAGATTCTCTTGTTTGAAGGTGAGAGGCCTGTAGTTGCCTGTCGTGCAGGTCTTGTGGCTGTGCCCGACTAGCAGGTCTTATTTGGCCGTTGCCCGACTAGCATGTCTTTGTGGGTCGTGCCCGACTTGCATGGCTTATTTAAATCCGGTGCCCGACTAGCAGGTCTTATTTAAACTCGGTGCCCGACTAGCAGGTCTTTCGGTTCCTTTCTGATATTGGGTGGTCCCCAATGCCTAATTTGAAGGGTGGCCCCTATATGTTTGGATGCGCGATATGCAATAATATGATGTATGTATTAAAAAGATATTGTCATATGATATAAATAATATGCTTATAACAAGAATAGCAATTTATAGGCTTAGATTCGAGAAGTATAGTTAGAAAAGATTTGAGAAGTACCTCGGTTTCCAGTTAAATTGATTACTCGAGAACGTGTTACCTCGATTCTTTATAGGCTCGACTCCGAGAAGGTATTATTTGGGTAGATACGTTTTCTCGAATACTTTGAGTAGTAGTAAGATGCTCGAGGGATGCTTGCCCCTTCGAGGAGATGTATCTTCTCGAACACTTCGTGTAGTAATATGATACTCGAGAGATTGTTGCCCCTTCGAGGAGATGTATCTCTCGAAACTCCAATGTTCGAGAGTGCCCCTTGCTAATTGTTCTTCTCGATTAGCTGTGAAGCACGTGCAACTCCTCGATTATTTGTGCAATCGAAAGCTTCTTTGTGCTACTTGTCGGCTGACGTCTTCTTGGCCAAACAAAGATAATTTTTTTGCGTGATCTTCTTGTTGCAAAATCGAAGCAACGAATTAACACCGTGGCTGCAAAAGATATAAAAGATTCCGTGCTTCGCTAAGAAATTTATTTGGTTGTAAAGACCAAACAAATCGGTCCCACTGGGCGTGCCACTTGACGAAGCATGGATCTGCACGGTGCTTAGACGGGCGGCGATGATGACCTAGGCGGCGGCCAACGGCCTAAAACCTGCAAGACAGAGCCTCGGGTGTCTTCCGAGGTAGACTCTCTGATACTTAAGTCAATAAGAGAGTAGAGATAATAGAGAGAGGGATGTGTATCGCGTGTAGAAGATGTAGAAGAAAGATAGAAGATGTGAATTATGGGAGAGGCACCACCTCTTTAGATATAGGTGGTGTTACCAGTTTCCTGAAACCCTAGCGGAATAGGTTTAGGCGGTGGCTTAATTTCCAAATAACCTAATCCTAGGCCCACTAGGGCTAGGGTTTATTTCGGACTTCATCTGAATACTTGGATTGCTGAGTGGGTGGCCTTTCGGCTTTCGCATATATATAAACACTATTCAACGTAATTTTCCGTAGGTAAAACCAACGTAAGTTTCCTAAGTTCACATAAATCTAATTACTGGTATGAAAGGGTTTTTTTAAGGGAAACTAACTAACAACTTTTTTTTTTTCTTTCCAACTGCCAAGGTCTAGATTATACCATCTTCAACTCAAAATAACTGTCTGTTAGATCTTTTTAATACAATTTATATTAAATTAAAAATCTACACTGGATATTCTTTTTGGGATTGATATAGTAATTTATACAAGGGTTACTGGAAAATAGCTCTGGGGTACCAAAATAAAAACCCTACATCATATGTAACTCGTGTATTTTCGATTAGATTCTTTTGAAAGTATAAGTTTTTGTACTGATATTTATAGTTTCGTCATTATATGACGAACTCTTTATTGTACAGGGTAAATTTTAAGCACTGCTCTAAAATTATTTCTCTTCATTTATAAATTTGTCAGGTTCGGACCTGGTTTTAATAAAAAAAAAGTACAATATACTAGTATATATATATATTAATATATTCACGAAAAAATAAAGAAATATATTATACTCACTCCATTTTTTTTATGTCGTTTTAGAAAAATCATCAAAACTAAGAAAATATTTATTAATGTTGTTAAAATACAAAAATATCTTTATTTATTATCTATGCAATTCATCACAAAACAATAGCAATTCATTATAAATACTGTTTCATTCACAATGTAAGGGTAATATTGGTAAAAAGTTGTCAAATATGACTCGATTTGTGAAAACGATATATATTTAAAAAAATTCACCAAATCCTAAAACGACATATATTTCAAAATGGAGGGAGTATATCTTGAATGTGCATGACAAATACTATACACTTTCAAGAAATAGTATTACTCATTTTATCGACCGACAACCTCCAAATATAAATACATAAAATAAAAACAAATTTCAACCTTAGTTTCTTAAAGTTTATACAAATTTGATTGGTATTACAGATTTTTTTTTCCCCCGAGATTTCATCAGATAAGGTCAACTGATCACGGTAGTGAGTGAGTTTAGAGTCCTCTGGTGAAGGATGCAAAGTACATGTAAAGCTTGTCAATCCATATTAATTCAGTTGAGACAATAGGAAAGTGGAAAAGGTGGGCATACTTGTACGGGATGACAATTTCTTTCTTCCCATATTCTTTCCTCCTTCTGTTTGCTTTTTGAATTTTTATATTTTAGCTTATATAAATAAATACTCCTTCATGTCTTTATCTTAAAGTTTTTTTATTTATTCAAAGTTTCACTTAATAAGTTTTTTTCGATTGAAAAAAAGAATTTTAAAAATGCATTTTTACATTTATGTCCTCCTAATTATTAGGAGATATTTTTAAGATTTTTTTTTTTCTGATTGGAAAAACATACTAGGTGAAAAGTACAAATCAAAATGCTGTATAATAATGATCATATGGAGTATATTGGATCTGAATTATTGTACAGTGCAGCCTTTTCCATGTTGTAAGGATTCAATGGAAATCATGTTGTAATAGTTCAACTAAACGCTTTTTAATTATTGTAGGAAAATGCTATTTAATTGTTCTAACACCCCACCACTCCCCCTCTCCCTCTTGTAATTGATAAAATTACTAAGGATAATTGTGCAAACTGCAAAGATGATAATTTTTGTAAAAAATCAGAGTGGAAGCTTAGCAAAAAATTGGCCAATTAGTAATTTAAATTGGCCAAATGTAATAAAAGAGAATGGAAGCTTAATAATTGTTTAAGAAAAATGCCCATTTTATGGATCTCACATCTATGAATTAAAAGGGAAAAAAAAAACCTTAATAATGTAAGTCGGAACACTAAAATATCTAAGGATTAGTCCATTACAAATGAAATGATTGACATTCACTCATAATATATGTTATAAACATGTGCGCACTTGAGTTTTTCTTTTTGTCGATTTGTGTCTTTTATTTTGTCTTTTATCTTTTGTTATATTGTTTTCTGTTTTCCTTTTTTTTTTGTGGTTTCTTTTAAGAACACATTGTACAATGCTTATCGATATTTCGTTTTCATGTTATACACAGATCCGGTTTCGATATGTGTGATTCGTTTACGTTATGCTTTTAACCATATTTTGCGTATCACTCCCTTCTTCCCAAAATTACTATCCAGATTTTAAATTTTAATACAAATCCAAACTAGACAATAATTTTGACGGAGGGATTATTATTTTTATACTCACTAAGGCAAGTGAAGAAGATCTCATTCCATTAACTTTTTTAATTATGGAAAAAATATTCGATTTGCCCCATGATTTACCCCTTGTTTGTAATGAGCAGCTATTGAAAGAATAAATTATTATAAACTCACTAATTAATGCTAAATGTCAAGGCCCAAACTGCTGTATGTTTAGCTATTCGTTTCATTTTCTTCTCAGACCTAGCATGGTCACTTCACCAACCATCTACTCTTCCAAGAAGCAGCTCTTGGAGTACAGGTCATTGGCATAAACTATGTCATAAACAAATCTTAGGATCATCTATACTCCCTCAACCCCAAAAAATAGTTACACTTACCATCATTTATGCTAAAACAAGAATATATATATCACGCATTACAATATGGACTATTTCTCACATGGAAAAAGCCCTCCGGTCCTTAATATAAGGTATTTTGATTTGTATTAGGTGAAACTTAGAACATACTTTTAATTGAGATAAAACCTTTAAAATATTTCATAACGATCAAGTGAACACAACGAATGTGAAAATATCTTTTTAAGATTTTTTTTGTCCATTAAAAAATATGTATTAGGTGAAACATATGACAAATCAAAATATCTTATATTAAGGACCCGAGGGAGTATTACAACTATAATATATCTTTTAAAATGATGACAACAACGCATCGGCGATCCCATTGTTTGTGATAAGCTTTGTTGCTATTGGGGAGACTTTTCTACAGAAATGAAAAAAAACTTAATTGTGTCCTCACAAGTTTTGGTCCACGATACGAAACACAAAAACGTTGAACCATACACGTCCAATCTACATTGAGCTGATTTCTTCATTTAAAAGTGTGACTAGCGTGATTACTTGTTTTTTTGAACCAATAATATGAGGCATCTTTTTACAAAACTAACTCCACAGCTAATACTTTTAGAGCCGGAGACAATAACGGTCCCAATGGAGGAATTGAACCAGGCTAGCTGTACCTCTTATCAAATTCATCGCAATTCTTCCATAGGTGTGAATTAGTACAGCCCTCGTCGCGTGATAACGAGAAACAAAGAACTAAGAGCTAAGAAGAGTGAGAAAGGAGACATCGAAATTGAAATAGGCTTCCGTGAAAGCCTTAGAATGAAGAAACTTAGAGGTAAGAAGAGAAAGAGAAGACGCCCTCAGCTCTGCACTTCTTTCCTCCCTCAGTCACCAACTTTGAATTTTTTTTTTTAGGTTTTTTTTTTGTAACCTCAGGTTCCTACCGTTCACTTACAACGACAACATCTATTAATATCTACCTGGCGCAACGCGAATGTTGTTAGAGGTTGATCCGTAGAGTTATTTGGAAGAATTCGATTGAATTGTTTGAGGAAATGAATAAACTAAAAGTTTTGTGTTGACAATTTTATCATCCAATTGGCTGTAACCATGTGGAGTTAGTTAATAAAGAGCTCACTTTAATTTTCGATTAATACATGACAAGCAATATCAATTCTAACACCACGGATGGAGATAAGGAGTTTGTTCTCTCTAAATTGTACATATGGTTTTATTTTCGAAACATCAAAAATAAAATTATAGAATCAACAAAAACTATGATGCCGACAAAAGTATGTGTATAAATTAAGAGGCTGCTAACACTACCAGCTAGTTCCGCCCCAATAAACTTATCCAAAATGGCAGCAATGTTTCTTTTCTTCATCTTGTTACTACTTTTTCCTTTGGTTTTCATTTTGCTGCTCGGGCAAAACCAAAACAAGAACTCCAAAAATAAGATTTATCGTAGCCCGCCCGGCCCTCCTAGGCTGCCCTTGATCGGGAATTTGCACCAATTTGCCAACGCGAAACCTAACCGCCATGAATACCTGAGGAACCTCGCTAACGAGTACGGTCCAGGCCTCATTTCATTGAAGCTAGGAACCGTGCCGGTTGTCGTGATTTCATCCGCGAAAACCGCGAAAGAAGCCCTCAAAACCCACGACCTAGCATTTTCCGGAAGGAAGGCGCTAGTTGGATCTCATAAATACAGTTACAATGGTTTGGATGTTGCATTCTCCCAATATGGTGATTATTGGAGGGAGATGAAAAAGGTTAGTGTTCTTCATCTCTTCACTCAAAAGAGAGTCCGGTCATTTCGACCGATTCTCGAAGACGAAGTATCAATTTTAATCGAGGAAATCTCGGATCTTTCTTCAAATGATCAAGTTATCAACTTGAGTTCAATGGTGATGAACCTTGCGAGCACTTTAATATGTCGAATCGGGTTCAGTATGAAGTATGAAAAAGGAGAGCATCAAAGGAGAAGGTTTGATCGGATGTTACTAGAATTACAGGCAATGTCTGGTGGCTTTTTTTACTCCGATTATCTACCTTTACTAGGTTGGATTGACAAGCTCAATGGGATGTTTGCTCGTCTTAACAAGAATTTCAAGGAATTGGATTTGTTCTACCAAGAACTCATAGACGAACATCAGAGTCTAAAAAGGCCGGATACCATTAGAAATGATTTTCTTGATCTCTTGTTACAGATCAAACAAGAAAAATTAGCTCCCTTCGATGTTACTTGGGATCACATCAAGGCAATGCTCAAGGTACGTAGTTTCATTTTTATATATTTTTACATCATTAAATTTGACATTACACAAGTAACGATAGAGACATTACAAAAAACTAAAAACATTAGTATTTTTTTTGTCATGGTAACGCCTGAAACCCCACCAGAGATGGATAACAAAAAACATAAAATAAATTTTGATAGTGACTTGAATGATAATCAATCATTAATGATTTTTGTTGGGTAATTGTTCACATGTTTATCAGAATATATTTGTTGCTGGAACGGATACAAGTGCATCGTTGATTGAATGGGCTATGACGGCATTGATGAAAAACCCATCAGCTATGAAGAGGGTGCAAGCTGAAATAAGAGACTTAGTTTGGAAAAAAGGAAGTCTGTTAACTGGGGAGGAAATACTCCTCCAAGAACTTCCTTATCTAGATGCAGTAATCAAAGAAACATTCAGATTGTATCCTCCAACTCCACTCCTTTTACCAAGAGAAACTATACAAAGTTGCACGGTCGAGGGATACGATATTGAACCCAAAACCATGGTTTTCATTAATGCATGGGCTATAGGAAGAGACCCTGAATGTTGGCAAAATCCGGAAGAGTTCGATCCTGAGAGATTCTTGATCAATAGTAACATTGATGTTAAAGGAAATAATTTTGAACTGATTCCATTCGGAACTGGAAGAAGAATTTGTCCTGCAATCTCTTTAGGATTATCAACCATTAAAGTTACACTTGCCAATCTTCTTTACTCTTTCGATTGGGAACTGCCTTCAGGGATGAAATTAGAGGAAATTGATACTACTGGATTACCGGGTATATCAAGCCATAAGAAACTTCCGCTTTGCCTCTTGGCGAAGAAATATAATTAAGTTTTTATTGGTAATCATTCCTCTTGTGATTTGAGATGTAACCAATTCGGCTTCTACTGCTCCAAACAAGACACAAACTATGATTGTGTTTTACACATGAATACCACTGTTCTATGTATGTTAGTGTTTAAGAATGATTTAAATGAAATATTTGTATCCATATATTGAAAAAGACTCATAAAATTCTATATTATTATGTTTGTAAATGAATAGATGACATATTTCAAAATTATTCGTACTCATTCCGGATTTCTATTTTTTTTTCTTAATCCTGAAAGGAAGAGTCTTATATTATTTCATACATTTAAAGGCAGAAAATGGTCACGTTAAACACGTTAATCAATATGATTTTATATAAGTTATGATTACAACCGAAGGGTACATAGTACTGAACAAAGTGTTAAAATAGTTCAGTCATGACAAGTCACATGTTTTAAGATGTGACTTGTCGACGAAATCATCCAAAATTAACGTAGGAGAGAAACAGTGTGATCAGAAGAAAATCTATGGTGATAATATAGTCACAATCATGACCACTCATTCAATGATATCTTAGATCTGAATTAAGATAGAAAGTTGGATATGCGCACAAATTATAGGCACCATGTTTCCATTGTTTACAAACTTTTTCGATTTCCGGCTTATAATGATATCTTCCATTTGAACATTGATAATACGATTGAAGATTAAACGATTTTTCCACCCGTATTGAGTAGTACTAATTAATCTAAGCGCGCGTGGCATCAGGCATGCATCTACCTAGAAATTACATCATGGTTCTTGAAAAATAAAAATATATAATATTTTAAAAATTTCACTTCCACACATTCAGGTCGTGATATCTCAAAAGGGGGAAGAAAAATACTAAGGAAAATCACTTTCCAAAGGTTGGCGTTCAAATTATCGTTAATTAAGAAACTTATGATGCTAATATTAAATTAATATAAACATGTCATAGTGATTATAATAAGTAGCGAAAAAAATTATAGAAGCTCATAGGGTTCCACCTCAAGACCAATTGGCAATGAGGAGAGTAGTCCATAAACTTATATATTGATATCAACTCTTTCCTACCATCAATGGGATACTGAACATTCCCCCGCAAGCGCAACGTATCTTCTTGGGTTGGGCTTGTCTATTTTTTTTTCAGCCCAGTCACTGCCTCACATCTCAATCCTATCAGTTTTATCACATCAGGTTTGGAGTTCGACTCTTGGCGGGCTGACTCTGATACCATATAAAAGTCTATGAGGTTCCACCTCAAAACTAATTGGCAGTGAGGGGAGTAGCCCATAAAATTATATATTGATATCAACTCTCTCCCATCATCAATGTGGGATACTCAACAAAAATTACCTCCAAAATTTTCTTTTTGAAAATAAAAAAACTACCTAATTTAAATAAAAGTTAGTCTAAGTGCTATCCTTTACAGTTACCATGCTTCGTAGTAGTACAAAAACATAATTACTGTATTCTAAATTTTGTTAGGCCTAATAGATCAAAATGTACGCAGTTTTATCCTTATATTACAATAGGGAAAAATTGTTTGAATAAGACCTAGATAGATGCATTTGATGTATTGATTTCTGGCCACTAGTGAGTGAATCCATAACAAGACAGATTAATCGTAAGGCCCGTAGGATCGTCACTTACACTTTTAACCACCCAACCCAAAAAGAAACACCAAAATCACCCTCTTTAAAATGAGACGAGGGGTCCTATATATGGGAGCATAACATTCGTATCTTGTTATCTATGGTTTTAGTAATGTACACCTTTAATTGAAACGATTGTTTCTTCGTATAAAAACCCACAGTTTCATTGAATTTTTTATTCAAAAATCATTTTTCTCTTTTGGTACATAAACTTTGAACTATGAGGTAAGCCAAAGTGGGCACGTACACGTTTACAAACGGAATCATCACTAATCCTTAGCTTACCGTACATAGTAAATTTAATCAATAAGGGGAATTCATGTGTTGATTTCCGCAACATAAGAATGAAAAAAAGAAATTTTTAATTTGATGAATAATGTAGTAAATTCAATGGGAAAAATGTGTGAAGAACAGACGATTTTGGATGCACCACGAACTCTAGGAAACCAAAATCTTTGGGTCAGGGTTGAGGTTGTGTTGGTTGTGATGATTTAGTTGTTGCACTGTAGACGTTTGAAGATTTCCAATCTCCCTCTCGTGATGAGTTAGTTCATAGTTGGGTTTTTGGAGAAATTTTTTTGTATAACTTTGGTTAAAGTTTTCAAAGGTTTTGATGGATCACTATCACCTTGGTCTCTCCTTAGAAATAATTTATTCATGCTGATCGCCATTTTGATAGACGGACAACACAAGGTGCACTTAAATTTAAGAAATTGAACTATTCTACCTTAATGGCACAAACATAGTGATTGAATTGATCACCGTTTCAGAAAAAAAAAAGAGTCTATTTTGTTACATGTCTTTGGTTTAAGAAAGTCTTATTACTATGAATCCAGATCTATCTCCAGAGAAGCTGCAAAATCCTCGAGATCACCCTCCTCTTGCACCACAGTGTGATCACCGGCCATTAAGTTGGTTTGGCCCTTCTCCACATCCGTTGTCGCCGTCCATTGTTGTTGAAAATTTTGATTCTCGGAGGTGGAATCACCGAGCAGCTGGTGCAATAATTCGTCAACACCATCGGTTATGTTAATATTCCATATATCTTCACCCATGGTCGGATCTCCCAGTTCCCTGATGGTCGCGCTCAAAAAATTCGATCCACCGGCTACGTCCTTTTCAAAATCCTCGAGAGGGGGAATTCATTGTCTTTGTATTCCTTTTCTTTGCTGATAATGTTGATGACAAATCTGATGATGAGTCACCTAGAAAAAACCAGGTTGCCACCTGGGGAACTTTTACTATTGTCTCTCTTGATCTTGCATAATACGATAATCCTCGAAATCCAGACTGATCCCCTGACCTGATAAATCCAAGCTGTACTCGATCATATTCCATTGCCCGATTGTAGCTTGTTTTGATGACGTCCTGAATGTGAAAGATGACTTATATCCAATGACCGCGCCATCACATCCGCTGACGGGCTCCTTGGTGGTATTTCCGTGCCAGATTCCGCACCCGGCAACCCGGTTCTTCATCTTATTGTTTGATCTCGCCGTTTTTCCAATGTTTTTGAGTTTTGTGAAAACGTAAAGTACTTGTACATTAAGATTGGGCTTCCCTAACGGGTCCACCGGTACCTGCCATGGGAGATCTGGGGAGAACAATTTCCATGGGGTTTTTTCGTCGTTGCCGTACATCTCCTTTTGAAATATGAGGTTGCGTTCCGACAGGGATAATGTACTTGGACTTAGAATCAATCTTTTTAGATGATGTCCGAGTAATTCCTCGTCTATAGGAGAATCGTTTTCCGAACCCAAAAGGCGAACCCATGTGAAAAGTTTCACTCAATTTCTCTGAATCTTTCGTTCTTTCTTTCTTGTGATCGAACTGAGTTGTTATACTATGCACATTAAGTGTATCTAATTAGGTGCACTTAGACTCTTTTTTGATTATTCAATAACGGAGGGATTTCATGTATAATTATTTAACAGACTTTCTTTTTCCTTTTCAATGCACGTGTCCCTTCCCCTTAATTTTACGAAGTGGGTTTTAAAAATTTCTTTTACCTTCGAATGATTTTATTTCTTAATCCATAATGAACTAGACCAATTTATATCATTTTGATAGTACTCGATGAGATTTATCCAACAAGATCCATCATGAATATGTTTTTCAAAACTTTAAAAAATTTATGCAGTTGGCTTGGTCATCCTAAAAGACGCTATGGTCTTACTTGTACCTAGAGCAAACACCAAAGGCCAAAGACCAAAGGCCAAAGACAAAAAACGAAAACCAAAAAGCAAAGACAAAAAACCAAAGACCAAAGATCAAAGTGAAAAGCGAGCGTGTGTGAGGACCAAAGACCAAAGACCAGAGTGAAAAGTGAGCATATGTGAAAAACAAAGACCAAATACAAAAGGTGAAAGACCAAAAACTGAAAACTAAAGATCAAAGACCAAACACCAGAATGAATAGCGAGTGTATATGAGGAATACAAACCAAAGACCAATTGCCAAAAGACCAAACTAGGCACTAACCAACACGAAAATGCTTAACCCCCTAAACCCTAAAACCTAAACAACTATACCCTAACAGACACGGAAATGCTTAAACCAACTAAACCCTAAACACATTAATATTTTTTTTATTTTTTGGTTTAATTTTTTTAAACCAAAGCATAATTAGTTTAAAAAACTTTCATAAGGTTAATCGTGTTACAACACAAATTAGGCCCTAACCGACATGAAAATGCATAAACCCCCTAAACTCTAAACCCTCTAAACAACTAGACCCTAACTAATACGGAAATGGTCAAACCCGCCTAAACCCTAAACACACTATTTTTTTTTTGTTTAAATTTTTTAAAACCAAATAGGCTAGGGTCAGCCTATTTGGTTAAAAAAAATTTATAAGGTTAATCATGTTACAGCACAAACTAGGCCCTAACCGACACGGAAATGCTTAAACCCCACTAAACCCTAAACCCTAAACAACTAGATCCTAACCGACACAGAAATGGTTAAACACCCCTAAACCCTAAACACTAATTGTTTTTTTTTTGGTTTAAATTTTTTTAAACCAATTAGGCTAGGATCTTGTTTACGAGACCCTAAAAAATTTATAAGTTGATCGTGTTACGATACAAACTAGGCCTTAACCGACATGAAAATGCTTAAACCCTCCTAAACCTTAAAACCTAAACAACTAGACCCTAACCGACACGGAAATGGTTAAAGCCCCCTAAACCCTAAACACACAATTTTTTTTTGGTTTAAATTTTTTAAAACCAATTAGTCTAGGGTCTCGTTTTACGAGAATCTAGCCTAATTGGTTTAAAAAAATTTTAAGTTCATCGTGTAAGTAGGCTCTAACCGACACGGAAATGCTTAAACCCCGTAAACCCTAAAACCTAAACAACTAGACCCTAACCGACACACTAATTGGTTTTAAAACATTTATAAGTTAAACGTGTTACAGCACAAACTAGGCCCTAACCGATAAGAAAATGCGTAAACCCCCTAAACCCTTAACCCTAAACAATTAGACCCTAACCGACAAGAAAATGCTTAAACCTCCCTAAACCCTATACACACTAATATTTTTTCGATTTTTTATCTTTGACTTTTGGTCTTTGGTCTTTGCTCTTTGGTCTTTAGTTTTTGGCTTTTGGCCTTTGGTCTCTGGTCTTTGGCTTTCGGTGTTTGGTCTTGGTTCTTTGGTATTTGGTCGTTGGCCTTCGTCTTTGGTCTTTGGTCGTTGGCCTTCGGTCTTTGGTCTTTGGTATTTGATCTTTGGTTTGGGTCTTTGGTCTTTGCTCCTAACACAACGCTCGCTCTTTACTCTGGTCTTTGGTATTCGGTTTTTGCTCTTTGGTCTTCGGTTTCTTGGTCTTTGGTCTTTGATCTTTTGTTGTTGTTCCTCACACAGGCTCGCTCTTTACTCTGGTCTGTGATCTTTGCTTATTGGTATTCAATTTGGTCTTTGGCCTTTGGCCTTTGGTCTTTTCTGTAGGTCTTGGTCCTAAAAGACACAATAAGACCAGAATGTCTTTTAGTAAGACCAAGGCTACTGCATAAATTTTTTTAAGTTTCGAAAAACATATTCATGAGGCATCTTGTTGGATAGATCTCGTCGAGTACTATCAAAATGATATAAGATACTTGGTCTAATTATTTACCGATTAAGAAATAAAGTGATTTGAAAATTTAAGAAAATGTTAAAACCTAATTCCTAAAATTAAGGGGAAGGGGCGTGTGAGTTGTACATAACTCATAAAGACTTGCATGTTTAGTCCTCCTTTCCTATACTAATTACCAAATAAGAGTCTATGTATACTAGCTACATGCACTTAATGTGTATGGTATAATTTTCGGATCGAACTTGTCTTCAAGCCTTCTTCTCCGACTTCTGAAGATCGAAGAAACAGTGAATTAATAAATCAGGTCTTACCTTTGTAGATTAGTTTTATAAAGGCACCATTGAGCTGACCTTGAATTTCCTAAATATGTTTTGTTTTGTGTTATTTTAATTTCCTAATTTTCTTTACAAATCCGATTCCTTGTATTTCAAGGGTTTGATTATAATAGGAAAGTTCCAAAATTAACTCACGCGTAATGTTAAGTTTTCTTTTTTTCGCCATCCAATCCAACAAGTCAGATTTATATTCTTAATAATTTTATTTTCTTAGTAAAAAGGTAAATCTTAACGTTCAAGTAAACTGAAGGTACACACCAGCTACTCCATCCAAGATAGATTAAGAAAACAACAAACAATGCTGACGAGCAGTTTTTTTATCTATCAGCAATTTAAAAAAACGAACACAACTCTTACGTTCATCAAAATTAATTAGTACTACCTCCATTTTTTATCAGTCCACTTTAATGTTTATACAAGCATTAAAAAAAATGATTGAGGTTTTAATTTACAAATGTATTGTCTTTCTTGCATCTAATTCAAAGTATTGGGACATACAAAATTATGATATTGATGTAAAAAACAGGTAGTTGTCATTAATATGTATTACTAAAAGTAGAAAGAGATAAATGTCACAATACAAAACCCCCCTTATTAGTACACTTATATTAAGGCACAAAAATTCAAAAGCCATAACAAATATGATATTGGGACATTTTTTTGTTATGACACTTTTGAGACTTTATTATCACGTTTAAAAATTAAAATGTCATAATAAAATATCACGTCGAGACACTTATTAAAGTTTATTGCTACTTGGCTACTAAATAAATTTTATCTCTAAAAATTATTCAATCCTTTTATGAGTAGGGAGATAAAAGCCTTAAGGAAAAAAATGGTAAACAGATTTTTCTCAAATTATATTCCTCCGAATCCGAAAAGAAGGAAAACTTCTCTGGCCTCCCAAAATCAAATAAACATCTTCGGCTGCGATGCTAGACCCGCCGCTCCCTTTCTCTCTAAAACGTAAACCCTACTTTCTACATACTTAGTTGCTCGTTGATTACTATGGTGTATTATTACTAGGTTTTCCCTAATAGTTGTCGAGGTTTTTAAGTTATTGGGATTGATTGTACAGGGTTTTATGATTTGGGGTAGTTTGATTAGTATTATTGTTTTGATTATGGAGGAAATTAGTGGGTTTAGGTGGTAATTATTTCTGTTTTTTCTCTCTTCTCAGGGCTGGAGTAAAAGACAAAGAATAGATTAATTTTGAGTGAAGAACATTAACTCATTAGCTTCTTCTGGAAGCCGGATGCTGGAATCTCTAATAATGGCCCTTTTCATTTTGTTTCCTGTAATTATTTTTTCTTCTTTTCTACTTCTTTTCTTTCGTTTAATGTGTCTGTATGTGTTTTTTGAGTACTTAGGAATAGAGAGGCAAGAAGATTTGCCATAGAATAGGTACCCAATTTTTTTATTATTTACTCCCTCCGTCCCATAATTATGCCACTTTGTCCAAAAAATTTTGTCTCAAAATTATTGTCTAATTTGATTTTTTATGGATCAAGTTACACATTTGTCCTTAGTAAAAAACATTATCCATAAAATCTTAGTGGTTAAACAATTACTTATGTAAGGGTATATCCGGTTGTTTAAGATAAAATATAGTTAAGTTTGACCAAAAGTAAAATCTTTTATTTTAGTAAAATTGGACAATAATTATGGGACGGAGGGAGTATTTAACTTTGTTGAAGTTATCTTTTTTCGGTTTTTTTTCCGCTATTGTTGTTAAATTAATATTGTTTAGAACACATTAGTTTCTCATATATAGTAGATTGAAAAAGGGCAAAATTGGTGGCTCTTTTGATCTAATTGAGTTACTATTTTGGCTACAGGCCTTGCATCGAGAAATGGAAATTGCCTATTGTATGTGAAAGGGGAAGCAAGATTATGCGGCACTTTCCACAAGATAACTGCACAACTCCTTTAATCGTGACCTCCATTAAGAGAGAAGATGACTTGGAGTTCAACAAAATCTTGGAGGCAATCAATCCAACTTCAATGATAAGTTCGATGAATACATGAGAAAAGTGGGGAGGTGGAATCGTAGTATCAAAATTCCAAGCTAAACCAAGACTAATGAGAACTTCGGCCTTGTTATTTTTTTTTTCCTAGTATGTGAAAGGAGAATTCTTTTTAGTTATCTGTTAGTAGTGAAATCTTTGAATTTATAAACTTGTATGTATAATAGAAAATGTCAAAATTTGATTAGAAATTTATTTAATGTTGAAGTTTGCATTACATTTTTTAATTGTCTCTTCTCTTTTTTTTTCTTATTTTCTGCATTTAGACTTCTAAAAGCAATAATAATAATAATAATAATAATAATAATAATAATAATAATAATTTAATAATTTTAAAATAAAAAAATAAATTCATCCGCCAATACTTAGTGTAAGTTAATGTCGCTATAAACTTATTATAAAGATACTTAAAAGTGTCTTTATAGTTCAATATCTATTACCACATTGAAATGTAAGACACTTATCTATAGCTAAAGTGTCTCAATAAAGTAGAATAGAATGCATTTGTAAGTGTCTTTATATGGGGAATTTTCTAGTAGTGTGTAAAATTAAAAAAAAAACTCTATTTAATGGTGCATTGAAAATGAAGTACTACAAATAAAAAAAAAGTGTTGAGTTCACCCTGAATTTACCCTAACTAAGCGACTGATAAAAAAATGGAGGTAGTAGTACATTACAAGAAAAGGCCATTTTGGACAATTCTGTAACAGTATCCATCTAGTACGTTTTTCATACAAAGTATTTAACTAAACATTTTCCTCCAAATTATTACAAAATCATTTTTTTCCAGATTTATTTACATTCATCAATTGTAAGTGTTTTTTTTTTTTTTTTTGGGAAACTTGTAAAGTTTTTCATTCATTGAAGCTCAAAACACTGTACACTCTCCTACTTAGTTATTACATCCTTTTGTACAATTCCACCTCATCCCTAGTTGCTGCAAAAAAACTTGATCTTGTAACCTAACCTTTATAACTTAGACTGAACTTTCCACTGCACATCTCGTTTTACAGCTTCAACTTTTGCCTTCGGATCCTGTGCCTTCTCTCAACTCTTATGGCATTGCGTTCTCTCCAAATACTATAGATCACTGCATTCAAACTTGCATATAGTACTTGATGCCTTACTGGTTTTTTCGATATCCAAACAGCCAGTAAATCATGCACTCTCAGCTTCTTTATATCCTTCCTTATCCCCAGCCAAGCTTTCATTTCATTAATCAACTGTTGAGCATATTCACATCTAAAAAATAGATGTTGCTTACTGTCCACTGCCTTCTGACATAATGCACACGAATTATCAGTCACAACCAAGTTCATCTTCTCCAATCTTTGAGCAGCAAGTAGCCTGTTTTTCCAAGCCAGACAACTGATGAAGCTGTGCTTTGGCAAGCTAAACTTACTCCATATAATCCTTGCTGGACTATACTTTTCTTTCACACCTCTCAACCATATGTAGCCTGACCTTGCAGTATAGCTTTTCCCTGCATTGGCTTGCCACTGCCTGTTCTGTACTCCTCCTTTTAACTTATCTCTTATCTTCATCAACCTTTTAAAGTGCCATCTACAATCATGATGGACTTTATAATCCCATATACTCTTGCCTTTGAAATAATATTCATGCATCCACTTTGTCCATAGGCTTTCCCTCTTATTCTCCAAGTCCCAAAGTTGTTTACCAAGCAATGGTATATTCCACTGCCTTGGTTCTTTTAAGTTCAGTCCACATTCAGTCTTTCTACAACAAATTCCATCCAAAGCAACCAATGCCCAACATTTCCCATTATCATTCTTCCCCCACATATATGTTCTACAAGCACTGATGATTTGTTGAATCACACTCTGAGGCCTGAGGGATTAGAAATGTACCAGCCCAATCTGCATTAAGACTTAAAAGTACAGTGTTTACCAGTAAGGCTCTTCCTGCATATGAGAGGTTTCTAGAAGTCCAGCAACTAATTCTTGCTATGATCTTATCCACCATACACTGACAGTCACTTTTAGTCCAAGAAGTAGGTGAAACAGGCATTCCCAAATATCTTATTGGGAACTCTCCCACTTCAAAGCCTATGATCAGTCTTATATCATCCTCAACATCATCTGTATTCCCTCCAAAATAGAGGTTAGATTTCCCAATATTAACACTAAGTCCAGTTGTATCAGCAAAGTTCATCAGCACCTCTTTGATCCTTGCCACTGTATGTCTATCAGCCCCACTGAAAATAACGAAATCATCAGCAAAACTTAGAGAAGCAATCCCCAGTCTTTCACAGTATGGATGATAGACAAATCCTGCTTTAGTAGCTTCCATTTTCAGCATTCTTGTGAGATATTCCATAACTAAAACAAAAAAAGAGGGGACATCGGATCACCTTGCCTCAAACCTCTCTTTCCTTGGAAAAAACCAGTGCTACTAACATTAAGATTAACTGAATATGAGCAAGTTGTCACACAGGTCATAATCCAGTCAGCAAATTTCTGAGGGAAACCATATTCTTTGAGCATTACCACCATAAATTCCCAATGAATAGAATCATATGCCTTCTTCAAGTCCACCTTCATAACAACACTAGGTGCAACATTTTTCCTCCTGTACAACCTGATCAACTCCTGAGCAAGTAAGATATTGTGCTGAATGAGTCTATTTTGTACAAAAGCACCCTGGTTAAGATAAATCAAGTCTGGCAGTACTTGACTCAATCTCTTGCTAAGCATTTTAGAAATGCATTTGTACAAGGTGTTGCAACAGGAGATAGGTCGATATTCAGCTGCACCTCTTGGAGATTCAGTCTTTGGGATCAAGCTAATTAAGGTAGTATTAAGTTGCTTAAGTAACTTCCCAGTAGTAAAGAACTCCAAAACTGCTTCGCCAATCTCCTTTCCTACTAGATGCCACATTCTTCTATAAAACCCACTGCTATACCCATCTGGCCCTTCACTTTTATCCATATCTATATCAAATAATGCTTCCTTAACATCAGCAACAGTGAAGTCTTCAATCAGAGAGAGTTGCTGATGGAAATTCAACTTGCTTCCTGACTTGAATACTTCTCTATTTGCTAATGTTCTTGTCTTTTCTGTTCCAGTAGATCAATATAGTAGTCCAAAAAATGCTTTCCAACTTTAGGCCATTCCTCTACCAATTCACCCTGATCATCAACATATTATCTAATTCTGTTCCTATTTGCCTTTTGCTTCATACTAGCATGAAAGTATCTAGTATTCATATCACCTTCTTGTACCCATTTCTCTTTGAGTTTTTGTTGCCAAAAACTCAACACTGCTTGGCAACATACTTTATGTCTCACTAACCTCCTTTTCCTCTTTTTGGAGTTCAACATTCCCAGGATCAATCATTATTGTCTTCTGAACAACCTCCAGCTTATGCCTCCAATCTATTTCCTTCTGTTCAATGTCTGCAAAACATCTTTTATTCAACAGTTTCAACTTCTTTTTCAGAGAACCTCTTTTGAACCACCCTGAACTGTTTACAACCATCAATCTGCTTCTTCCATGCTGATATTATTATCCCTTCAAACTCTGAATGTTCTATCCACATATTAAAGAATTTGAAAGATCTCTTTCCTTCCTGTCTCCCATCTTTCCATTTAATCACTAATGGATTATGGTCTGAAACACCAGCAGGTAATACATTAGCATAACTAGTGGAATACTTTATCATCCTGTCAGCATTGACAAGTATTATGTCTAGCTTTGCCATGATATTTTGATCTCCTATCTGCTTATTTGTCCATGTGTATTCACCTCCATAAGTGCTTAACTGCCATAGTTCATTAGTTTCCATCATCTCCCTGAAATTGTCAGTATCACCACTAATTTCTTCTCTTCCACCTTTCCTTTCTTCCTTCTATAGAATACAGTTGAAATCTCCCATTAACAACCAAGCTCCTTGAACACCACCTGCTAGGCTGATTAGATCTTTCCATAATTGTACTCTACCTTGTACTGTATAGTCTGCATATGCCACAGTCAACATATACTCTTTACCATTCTCCTTCACCTGGCAATGAATAAGTTGACTTGTGACTTGCAATATGTTCACAGCATATTCTTGTTTTCGCCACAGCAAAAGTATTCTTCCTTTATCCTTTCCCACATGATTACTCAGATATTCAAACTCCTTCCATTTCCATAGCATTATTTCCTTCACTTTCTCCCATGTTAGCTTTGTTTCAAGTATCCCAGCCACTCCAATCTTACTAACATATAGGAAATTGGTAACTTCCCTATGTTTCAAGGGACTATTAAGTCCCCTACTATTCCAAGATAGTATGTTATTCATGGTTACTAGGCCCTATAAAAGGGTTAATAGTGCCATGATAACATAATTTGTTGACCGATCTCAATTTATCATTTGTCCTTCCCTCATTCACTCTGATTCCCTTCTGATTCAGTATTTTGATCCTTCATTCTCATCATTCTCCTGCTTATTCCCCTGCTTATTGGGACTAGCTCTCTGCCCTGTTGGGCTCTTTGCTTTTGTTAACTGATTAACTTTAATCACCTGATGATCCTTATCCCCCTCTTCATTTATTTCAATCACCTTTTTGCCATCCTGTTAACTTTGCTTACTGGTCACAGTTGATTGTAGATCCGACATTCGCTTGCTAATCAACCATTCCTTCTTAGCAAGAATTCTGCACTTTCCAGTCTCACGCCCAAACCCACCACAATATTTGCACCTCACTGGTTTCCATTCATAATAAATCTTCTGTTCTTGTAAATCACCACGTTCATCTTCATACCAGACAGACTCCTGCAAGGTTTCCTTGGTTTCTAGTTCTACTAACACTCTAGCATAGCTTGATCTCATTCTCTGAGAAGTCATTTCATCCATTTCAATCGGTTTCCCAATGCTACTGATCATTTTACTCAAGTTGACAGCATTCCAGTATTTCAGTTTTAACTTTGGTAGTTGAATCCAAACAGGAACCTTCCTTACTTCGTTCATATCAATCTCCTCTTCAACACTCCAATCTTTCACTATAAATGGACCGCTATCAAAGTGATAGAGGTTAAATCGAAGTACCTCATCTTTTGCAGCCGTTGACTTAAATCGTACCACATATAAACCATTCTCAAGCAGTGAATATAGCCACTGATCATAGCAAATGGAGGCTTAGCTCCAAACACAAAACAACAAACACAAGTTTTCTAATAGTCTTACTCCACCTAAACATCATCCACCGTAATTTTGATAACACTTTGATTATTCACCATTCTAGGTTCAATGAAGCTCAGTTTCCTTTCAGTACTCATCAATTTCTTCGGATCAAATTTTCCCCAATTATCGAAGTATTGCCTGGCTTAATTGTCTCTGATTCAGCATGATTTTTAGTACCAAATCGTTCCCCAACCTCAATTATCTTTGTTTTGTTCCATTTTCCAAAACCTAATTTCAATGCAGACACATTTAATGCTGAATTTAAAGCTGAATTAGGTCTTGTTACCTCAGATTGGTTTGGTCAAACCGGTGTAAATTCTCCCCTTAGGTTAGATCTTTCTTCATCCGACGGTTCCTGGTCTCCACTCCGTCCTACCTCTCCTTGCTTCTTGGACTTCTTTGCCATTACAACGCTGATCGCGCTTGGGAAGCGGTTGTTCGATTTCACACAGTGCAGCTGAAATCGCCCACACTAAGAGAGAGTGAAAAGAAATGAGACTTTCGTTATTTAATTAACATTCCGTAAGTTTTAGGATCAATTGTAAGTGTTATAAACATTATTTGGAACTGCTTCTTAATCAACTCATATTGAGTATAACGACCTAATTTTTGTCGGATCTTTTTCGTGATATGCCAAAGACAAATCCGATGATGAGAATTTGGAAATACCTTTTCAATTGCTATTCTCATGGCTACTTTCTGGTATGTTATAATGGCATCCGGAGCATGTCCACCCATACATTTCAACCATGTTTCATACAACCATGTGAATGTTGGAAAATCCTCACTTGATAGCAATCCACAGCTAAGTAAGATAGAATGAGTGTGATGATTTACTCCAACAAATGAAGCGAACGACATGTCATATTGAATCGTCAGATAGGTGGTATCGAATGTGATGACATCAGAAAAAGAGTCATATGCAGCTCTAGATCTTCTATTTAACCCAAAAATATTTCATATACGAGCTGTCTCTTTATCCAAATCAACAAAAAGAAAAAAGCCAGAGTTCGACTTTGCATACGACAAAAAGTATTACTCAATGCTTCAGCATCTCAACTGCCAATCTTAAATTTCTGGCCTCTATCACATAATTCCTGCACTTCCTATCGTCTGGCAAATTCTCGTGTCCACCGTATTCCACAAAGAAGCAACTGGTAACTTTTGTTAAAGGTATTATAGCTTGATCATTTGAATCTAACTTTCTCTTTACAAAAGAATCAACACCATATTACATTTGAAGTAACATGACTTCCCAGGCTCAAGGTATGTTTGTGTTCGAGATTCACTCGACTAATTCGCATAGTTCCATCAATTTCAACAACAACGTTTATCTTAGTTTTACAATATGTTTTCATTGAAGGACGGGGATGCAAAGAACTTTTTGCTTTGGAAACTGTCTTACGATAATTATCACATCCAATTAAAAAATATTTTTGCTTCCCCTCATTGTTTCTTCCTCCTAACTTCAAAATACCAAAACCAACACTTCGAGCATACACGTTACAAAAATTACGAACTTCTTCTTCAGATGAAAAACACATTTCAATTGTAGGAACCTTTACGTCATTTAAATTTGGCATATCTTCACCTTTTTCCATTAGGGTTATTGACATGCATAAAAATATAGAATAATTTTTGTCATAAAAATGACAAAACCTCAAAAGTTCTATTTTTCCGAAATAATGTAACTATTAAACCTTGAATCTTAGTTATTGGTTTATGTTCTTAAATTCTTCAGGGACACTCTAATATTACCAGGGGAAAAAAATAGTTAGAAAAGAATATCATCATCCCCTCAAAAATGAAGGTCTTACACCATCAGCTGCGCTCTATGTGTCTAGGCATCCACCATAAAGACATCAATACAAAGGGGCACATAATAAAATTGATATGATCCACTATTGGGGCGCCATCAATTGTTTATTTCTTGGCACTTCACTGGGATTAAATTCATGCTTTAGAATTATTACTTTTTGTGCCAAACAATCCGAAGAAGATTAAAAGTAGAGCACGCTGATCCATCTCTCACACTAAAAAACCAAACCAAGAAAAAGAATAACCTAATTTTGAAACAGAATAATAAAATTAGACAAATTTTTGTAGATTTCGAGTCTTCTGGAACCTCAAACAATTGGTGCGGCGTTTCAGACCAGAGATCAACATAAAGATTGGCTCTTTAGAACTTTAGGTGCTGAGCGTCACCGGAAAGGACGAGAAGGCAAGGAAAAGTAAATGAAAAAAATACAGCAATGATAAAAACTGGTTTTTATTTTCTAATTAAATATTACTATAAATTTCTATGTTAATTGCCCTGTAAGTAGAGTTATTAGTAGAATTAAATTAGTAGAGTGGAATATCTTTACTCTTTTATTTTTATGTGATGTGGATTGCAATTGGAATTGCAATGTCAGTATAGTTATATAGAGTTATAAAGGTAGAGTGATATATCATTATTCGGCACAAACACTTCAATTCATGAATGTGTCGGAATATTCTAGCATCGCAATTTAGTAATCGAACATGAAGTCCATCACTTTGAGAATGCCCGGACGAATGATAACCCTCTTCCTCGGCAATCCTAGCCTCTTCCTTTCCGGAATTCTCTAACACCGCTGTGGCCACCATCCGGTTGATTTTCCAGCCACGCTCCTCTTTCAACTTTCGAATCTTTCCCAACTGACGACGAACTAGTTTGCAAGTGTTGTCTTTAATGTCTTGGATCCCAGACGCAAGTAAAATCTTCCTATCGATTCTATGACTGTCGTCTCTGCCCAAAAATATTCGTCCAGTTCGGGAACGCCTATTACTCGTCGCAAGCCCCGGCTATAATCTGCTTTTAGGTAAAAAGTTCCGCGCAGTTGTTCCACCAGTTCTGTATGACCATACTCATTTCACCAAAAATAGTTTAACGAAATGATAATTTTGAAGAAGTTCAAGACATATACAAGTAAAATATTATTACTAACTTTCTAAAATATATGTTGTTGACGAATTTGTATCTCGTTTTATGAATTCACACACTTTTACTTAATTCTTCATGAGCAAAATAAATATTAAGCTTTCTACTCACAAGGAATTTTCACTTTTGCACAATCATCAAATCGAAAACCGATAAACAAGGTGATCATATTGACATATATCCAATTGGAAAAGTTAACGTTTCAAAGTCATTAATTGTCAATAGAGAGCCAGAATAGTAAGTTAGCTAGATAAATGTTGTTGTTGTTGTTTTTTTTTTTTTTTTTTTTTGGTTTTGGTTCAAGAAAAAAGAGAGATGTTATTCAAATTTGTGTGAAAAATTAAAGAAATATGGAGAAAGGAGAACATGTAAACCTGAATCCACCATTTGATCAACTCGTTTGGAGACGGACTTAAACAAAACAGTCAAGGAAACGTCAACCCAAATGAACAAAAAATCATATTCGGATTTGAGTTGTTGATAGGTCCTCCACAATTGCTTCAATGAAAGAGTTAGATCCTCCCTCCATGATTGAAACTTGACCCGACTTCACGATCTCGCGAATGGCGGACATGGCCTCATAGCTGAAGTGAATTACCACAATAAGGGTCATCCTCTCCAATCAAGTGGTTATCAGAAACACGTTGCATTTCTTCCTCCTTGACCTGTTAGTCACGATGTCAAGACCCTTGTACACTTGTATTTTTTCACAGTCGATTATCTCGGCCGGATATCGGCTGGCTAGATCAACTGAGAAGCGTGATTTCCCAGTCCAGCTGGCTCCCATAATAAATATCAACTTTCCCTTTTTGATATCAATGTTAAAGGAATCGATGCTTAAAAAATCCACCATAATAATAAAGTTATTTTTAATAGTAATAACAAATGAATAAGTAAATGAGCATAGTTGAACTGAAACTAGTAAGAAGCAAGTAGAAAAAGGTTTGAAATTCAGGTTGTGAACGTTGTTTCAGAGAGTAATTAGGGCGTAGGAGAATTTCTTTAAAGTTTGTTCAAAGAGGAGAGCGACTAACATATTGTTAATGGTAGATATCATTTTTCATTTCATATTATTTTGATTATAATTATTATTATAATTAGTTCCTTTTTCTCCCAATTGTATTATGTTGTTATTTTCATCATTTAATTATGGAAATTTTGAATAAACGATTTCTGTTTTGGGAATTGATTCAAATGCGTAAAAAGTATATAAATTTTGGTTCAAAATTAAAAGATATCAATCGAATGACAATTGATATTTTGGGAATTTGACACTGGATGAGAATTTTGGATGTATTATTTAATTGGTGATTAAGACGTAGCAGATTTGGTTAAAAGGTTTCGGATTTTAACAGTGAAAAACTAAAATGGGAGTGACCAACATGATGGTTGGTATCAATTCTTTATTTTTTTTAAATGGCTAGTCATTAATTGCCTGCGCCTCCGTAGATTGACGCGGAAATATCAATTGTCATTTAGCAACGTACATCTCACCTCATAAGTTTTATTATTTTCCAATTATGTATTGTTTATTTTCATTAATCCCTAGCTGTAAATGGTGATTTCGTTAATGATAGCAATCTCGTAGACGAAGCAAATTTCGTTAATGCAACCATCAACAAGAAAGTACGAAAATAATTTTGTCTATCCCGTGAAACTCAAAAGAGTGCGGAAAATTCACAGTAAGACGATCGTTTATCTAAGTGATTCCATCTCTTAACTCAAACCAAGCAAAGAACACATTATCCATGAAAGATTCGAATTAAACAACAACCCACGCTAAGAATAGCAAGGACACCATTCAATATACTCGATCAGTCATCTATCAAGAGACTCAAGAAAGGTAGGAGCAAACAATGCCCAACTATGAAGGAATACTATTGATTAGTAATCTTCATAACCAACCAAAGATATGCAACACATACACTATGTCAAAATGCTTATGCCAAAGCACAACTCATCCAACAAAAGTAGGACAAACCCCACAATGGATCTCATGAACACACTCATCATGAAATTCGAATACCAAGCCAAAGGAAAGGCTCATCAATCGAACTACTAGAAGTAGTATGAAAATAAGAAGTTTTGTTTTAAAACAATTCTATCAAGAAGCATACTTGAAAAAGAACGGTTTCTGCAAGATCAAAAAGATCCAAGACAAGATGAAAACCCTCTTGGTTTAATCATACTTGACATGAAAAATGGACACTCCATTTAACAAAAATTCCTCACAGGAAAAACTCTCAAAAGAGACAACAAAAATGACCACTCAAGGGTGCTTAAGAAATTCGGCCAAGCCTCCGATATATAGGCTTAGAATTTTCAGCCAGCACCACTAAAAAGAAGACCAATTAGGACTCTCTAATCTTATCTCCCAAGGAGTAAAAGTAGAAAAGTACTTGATCTCTTTGACTCTATCTAAAATCTAGGAAACCTTATCTAAATGACTTATCCTCAAGTCGGATAATATCTAGCAGGAATCTAAGACTCCTAATCAAAACACTCTAGTTTAATTCAGTCCACATGACTTATTTAACTAGATAAAAATTCAAAAATTGACTCCTAGACTTAGACTAACTCTAATCTCGAAATTCAGCTCCAAATTGTTGAAGTAAAATGTCTTGAACGCCCTTCCAAAAGTGGAATATTGGTCTTGCGCCCCTTAAGTTGTAGAAAACTCTAATTTACTCCAAAACTTGTATATTCTCTTTATTGACTCCAAAAGATTGGAAAAACACTTGAAACAATTAAGATAGTTTGCAACCTATCCAATTGTGTAGCAATGGACTCAAACTTGAACACTTTGATCAAATAGGCCGCCCATTCAAGAATCTAAATGACTCTTCTCACTAGCTTGATCAATGATCTTCATGGAGCACACAGAGTCAAACTCTCCTGATACTCTTCAGCACTTATTTCCATGAGGTCTTCAT